GAGAGAGAGAGAGAGAGAGAGAGAGAGAGAGAGAGAGAGAGAGAGAGAGAGAGAAAAGTATGTGTGGCCAGCTTATGGCTCTTGCACACAGGACGCGGTAATACTTGCCGCGCGGCGGAAGTTCGCGCGACAACCAATCAATATGCTGCTTTCCGTAATAACCTTCTAGCTCTTACGGAAAAACAACATATTGATTGGCTGTCGCGAGGACTTCCGTCGCGCGGCAAGCATTACCGCGTCCTGTGTGTAGGAGCCATAAGTCTGCGTTCGGAAACGTCACTCGAGTATCTCCCTCTCATTTTATCTCACTCTTGTATTTCGCTCACTCCAACGGCTATCGTCTAGTAGTGTGTACATACACAGTGTGTTCCGAATGCAGTATAAGTTGGTTGAGTTAGGTTAGATTACTGTAAGACAATATTTTTCCTGTTTAATCACATTGAAACCAAGCAAATCATAGTGACTCAGTTCATAGCATTTTGCAATTTACCTATTCCAAGTGTTTACTTTGTGAATATTATAACCGTATCCACATTTAATCACAATGGATTTGTCAACCATATCACTTACAGCAATTTCTGCTGGAAGCAAACAAGTTATCTCGACGCTCTTAAACCCTGCGAAAGTCCTACCATCTGAAAATGGTTTACCAAGGTAAATATTTTTAATATTTATATTTGTATTAATATTTATATTATAAATATATATTCTTGATTTTGTCTTACACACACACACACACACACACACACACACACACACACACACACACACACACACACATATATATATATAATATTCTTAGATATATAAAATCTTACATATATCCAAGAAAAATATCAAACATAATGACCAATTTTTACTTGTAAATATATTATTAGAGATTGGAGAGGTTTGGCATATTTGCTAGAATTCAATGTAGAAGTCATATCATTGCTTTCGTCACATTCTGATCCAACAATACATATGTTCACAATATTGGAGCAAAAACAAGAAAATATTACAATAAAGGATTTTCAAAGGATGATGGAACAAATCAACAGATGGGACATTATTGATGATACTGAAGACATGTTTGGTATATATTAGTAAAACTTTTGTACATATTGTTATTTATTAAAATTGATAAAAATATGTAAACTAATAATTATAAAAATTATAATAATAAAAGATTGATTTATATATACAGAAAAGGATGCTATAAGATGTTTGGAGGAAAAGCAGAGAGCTCAAGTATCAGCAGATATGATAGAACAAAATATTGATAATGAAATACTTACACAAGGTTTAATTGAAGCAATTACTATTGGTTTAACAGAAATTACATTTTATTATATGTGATTATATGATAGAAACTATCTATTTCTTCTAGGTGATATTCATAGATTGAGAGAAGGCTTAGAAATACAATATTATGATGCGTTTCTCTTATATGCAGATGAAGATATTAGTTTTGCAAATGAGATGGTAGAAAAACTTGAAACAGGATATCAGTTAAAGGTATTGTATATATATGGTAAAATATACAATAATACATCTGACTTTCTTTTTCTTACAGTATAAAAATGATTATATTATTGTTTCCAGTTATGTTTAAAAGACCGAGATCTGGTTGCAGGTATAACATTTGAACATGAAGCAGTAATGAAAATAATAAAAGAACGATGCAATAGAGTATTGATTATAGTATCACCTAATTTCTTAGTAAGCGCTGCAAACAAATTTTTCTTAAACTACACACAAGCTTTAAGTATTGGTATGTCCTTATTTGCTGTATATCTTATATATCTTCTTTAAGATATATAAGATCTCTAAGAAAAAATATTTTCGTACAATTCATCATGTTTCAGATACACGACAGAGAAAAATCATACCCTGTTTATATAAAAGATGTGAATTACCAATGCAATTAAAATACATGTTTCTTTTGGATTACAATCGTAGAGGATTGTATGACTTTTGGGGTAGATTACATGATTCTATAAAAGTTCTAAATTCTAGTGTTACATGGTAAATTAACTCTTATATAATTGTACATATATCAATGAATTATTTTGGAGATAAAAATTAAAGATTTTAAATTTTATTACAGCACACAGAAGATTACAGAAGTAACAAATACTTTGCCAAATATATGTAATGATATAGCTCAAGTCCCTCAAGTAACAAAAGAAGAAACGTCACAAAATATGCAACAAAAGATTGAAAACTGTGTTAACAAAAATATAAATGATACTAAAGCTTTAAGTTCTGGAACCAAAAATAAAATGTTAAAATGGGTAAAAGGTGCAGCTAATCGAAAAACGAAGCAAACTAAGCAAAATGATGCTTTAATTGTGGAGAAACTTCAAAATTTGCCATCACTAGATAACTTAGATAGTTTAACCAGTAATTCAACCAATAATTTAACCGGCAATTCAACCAATAATTTAATCAGTAATTCAACCACTGATATATATAAAAAAAAGAAAAAGAAGAACTTATTTGATAAGTTTACAAAGAAGGGACAAATGAGAAAAATAGCTATGCAAGTATGATAAAAAAAATCTACGTATAAGAAGAATATTTTGTATAAAATTATATATTTTGACAACACACATGTTTGCACAAAAATGAGGAAGAAAACGTGAAGTTTATAGATTTCTAATCTAATATATATACATATATATATATATATATAAAGATTTATATATTATATATTTAATTGTTAACAGTTATTTCTTTTGCTAAAAGAAGAGAATTATAAAATTATTAATACCAATATGTAACAGTTTAATATTTATGAAAAATTATGTACATTGTTGAGTTTAATCACATATATATATATATATATATATATATATATATATATATATATATATATAAAATTAATTTTTTAGATATATATTAAAGAATCATGACAACTGTACTTTTGACATAACATGTACCATATGTAAGTTATAGCTTACATAAAATGTAATATGTATATAAGAAGTTAACATATGAGATTAATTAAAAAGTACAAATGTAAGAAAAATATAAAATATATATTAAATATAAAAATATATAACAATAAATAATAAAACCTTCATTAGGTTAGTGCAAAAGATTTATTATTCTCTATTCAATTCTCATAGAAAGTTTGTATCAGGAAGAAAATAAAAAGTTCTCAATTATCTGATTATTGAGCATAGTTAGCAATAAGATGACACTAGTCCGTAATATGTATATAGAATTTATAGATCATTTATGAAACATTTCTTATTTTATATTTCGCGGTTTTTTATAAAAACATGAATTCTTGTGATTGGTCAAGTTGCTGCGATATTAACGACCGCTGCGTCATCTATAGTCTCTTGAGCTGCGTTCAGAAACGTTATTCGAATACTTTCCCTCTTTTTTTATCTCACTGTTATATCTCGCTCACTCCAACACAACGGGTACATTTGGGTGACGTTTCCGAACGCAGCCTTGGAGTCTCATAGCAGAGTGGAAAGCGGTAGTCTTGTTCGAAAGCTCTGTGTTTTTCGTGTTTTTCGCTTAACAAACGTAAACCTGTTGCATGAGTTATTGTCGAGAGCAACCTTCGTATGTACATCGTAGTAAAACATCACCAGAAAATTACATAAGTAAATATATATTGTCAGACAGATCGTTCATAGTATCGAGCAAAGTTCGTTCGCGTTCAACGAGTTATGATAGCTTTAGGCTTAGTTACTTCTTTTACATTTCAAATCTGTTGATATAAGAATTTATATGTGAATAATCGCCGAGAATGCTGAAAATAAATTTCATGCATTCATCATGACGAAATATCATCGAAATATCATAAACAGTTGCCACGGAGCGTCCGTTAAAAGAAGTACCGAGTGAAGTGTGGCGTGTATCAACCTTCGAGAATCACAATTACCGGCGTTCACTGCGATAAGTTCAATGCGTTGCGGAACGGTTATGGCGCGGTAGCACGTATTCGAAAGCTCTCCTGAAATTTCGTGAGTTTGGCTCGATGGAGGTGAGTCTCGCGTATGATTTATTATCGTCGTAAATGTCGAACAATAGTTTAGCTCATATGTCGCAGTGAAATATCATTAAACGATCGCCTAAAGTAAATATTTCGCGGCGCGAGTCGTCGAGAGTACCGAGCAAAGTATCATGCGTAATGGCGACCCCACAAAAACGTACGTCGAATTCACTTCGAATCCACGTAGAGTTCACGTGGAATCCACGAAAATACGTGGATTCCACATGGGTGTAACGTGCATGTTTTTGTGGGGGATTCGACGTTTTCATTGATATTCATAACGTTTTTGAGAGTTTTGAGAAGAATCTCATGTCTGAAACATCGTCGGGAATGCTGAAAGTGAATTTCGCGCGTGTGTTGTGAAGAAGTATCATTGGACAGCCGTTGAAAATATCTCGCGAAACGGGTCGTTAAGAATGCCGAGCAAAGTGGTGCGCGTATGTCGCGTAACAGCCGTTTGAAATACTTAACATTTTCGAACCGTCTCGAAAGAATCTCACTCGTAAGATATCGTTCATATTCGGGAGTGCCGAAAATAAGTTTCGCGCGTGTGTTGTGACAGTATCGTTGGATTGCCAGTTGGATTGGCGAGCATCGAAGGAATATTTAGTACGTAAAGTGTATAATTGGCTGTGTGTCTGAGAATTTTGTGAGTCGAGTTTATATTTCACATTTGTAAATTTAAATTATATGCCAGACAGCACAAAATATCCTCAATGTGTCTAGGATATCTTATAATATATCATAATATTTTGATAATGTTAAATATTATCAAAAAAAAGAAAATAGCATTTTGATATGTTGTATTTTAATAGCTTATTTCTCATGTTTATAATGAAATCTAAATTTTCGCTAAGAAAGAGAGGAAGAAAAGAAAAAATAATTTTAGACATCGACAAAATATAAAAATCGACAAAATATAAAGAAAGCCTTACGGGAATTTGTGCAACTGTCAATATTTTTCGATACGATTAGCGTATAACGCAAAATTATTTTGATTATTATTCCAACATTTTTTATAAATACACACATATATCGGTATCATCCGCTGATACAACATTTTCTACTTCGTTTTCGTTCGTCCTCTTACCCGTCATTCGCGAACGAGTAATCGCGGCCGGTCAGTGTAGTCTACGTCCTCAGATGGCGACGTAGTCGCGCGAGCTCCCGCGTGGCGTCGCTCTCGTACGCGCCTGATCGGTGGCTCGCGGAATGGGATTCCAATATGGCAGCCGTCGTGATAGCCGCACAAGTCAGTGTCGCGGAAATGTTTTGAACTCGCGACTCGAGCAACTGCGACGACCGGTCGACGTGCGACGCATAGGTTAGTAGGGCGACGTGTAAACGCGTCGGCCGCGAAGCTCGCGTCCCGCGACTGATCCGACCGGTTTGTGTCAGCAATAAAGCAAGGCAGGTCGCCCTCGCGAGAGAGAATCGTGCTCCGCGCGTTCCTCCGTGATACACCGTGAACGCGAGACGATCGTCCCGATACATCGGCATAGATCACGCCGGTGCCCTCGTCCCGGTCGCACCGGCTTCACGTTCGGCGCACGCGACGATGCTTATCGCGCCGACGAGGCCCGCTGTGTCCTGTCCTTCGTAAAGCGCGACGCCGCGTCGCGTCCGGATCCGCATTGTATACATTTACGACGTGTGCATGGTGCGTGTGTCTACGTATCTCCCTCTCTGTCAGTTGCGCCAAGACGGTGCTATCGCACGTTTCTCTTCCTCTCTCACTCTCTCACCGTTTCCTCCGCCGCCAGTGTCAGGTGTGTGATTGCTATTGTCGTATGTGTATTTTCTTGCGTGATTGCGTGCGTACGTGTGTATTGCGTGTGTGTATGCGTATGCCTGTGCGTATGTGTACGTGCGTCTGCTTGTACGAATTTGTTTTGGCAATGCTGTGCTTACGTCTCCATCCCATTCTTCTCCCTTATTTTCTTTTTTTCCCCATTTCTATTTATCTATCTCGTCATCGTTTGTCGCCGTGTGAGCGCGTGTGCGTGTGTGCGTGCGTGCGTGCGCGTGTTTGGGCATCAAGAGAAAAGACCCAGCTGATGGTCCACTACGTCGTGCCTGCCTTCCACCTCGTGCGACGACGGCATGCGGCTCGTGACACGCGACCACGCATCAAAAATATCCACGAGCATCGTGACACCTGAGCCCGGCGGCGATGTTCGGTGAGTCTATGAACGAATTTATTTTCGAAACTGCGCCCAGACGAGTGCTCTTGTTGTGTAGACGATGACAGGTGTTCTCGAACGAGACGGCGAGACGTGTCGTCGTCCGCTCGCGCTGTTCGAGATCGCAGAGGTTAATCCTTTCAGCATGACATGTGTCCGTGACATTCGGGACATTATTGTAAAAGCACTCGCGGAAATATTCATAAATAGTTAATATTATATACATACATACATATATATATATATATATATATATATATATATATATATTAATTTTAACAGTTCTTTTTGAAATCATGGTTGTCATAGGAAAATTTTCAATCTTACGGAAAAATTGATATTGCATTTTATATGCATTAAGTTATAGTAATTAACAACGCTGTGTGATAGCGAGAATATTAATAGTAACGTCGCGTCGTTCACTATATACTGTGTTTACTTACGTAAACAATGAAGCCCACTGTCGTGTCATTTGGAGGATTAGTCTCTCTTTTTCTCAAGGCCATTCTGTTTGAATTCTCTTGTATCACATGTGTATTTGAAATTTTTTATTTTTTTCAAAGTATATATTTTTTTTATAAATATCTTTTGGATACACACTATGCGCCACCGTAGTGATTCTCTTGTGCAACTTGTATTGAGACTCGGTGGACAGTTTGTATTTGCTAAGCAGTAGTTCTCGTCCACTTCTTTTTTATATGATAAACACAAATTTCATTAATTTATTAGCTATTACGTCACGCTAACGTGGGTACAATGGGAATTGCATTGTACACAAACGTCGATCGCGCTGCTATTATTCATTATACGTGCATTCAGCCGCAAAGTTGCGCATATGGAGTAGAGTTGTGCGTCCAGGTCAGCCCCGTGGTTAAAGGGTTAAATATATACGTGTTGATATTATTAATGCACGATGTTGAGACTCATGAATATGTACAATCGACGCAGAGATCGAAGATCAAAAGGAAGATCGAAATTTGAAATGCGGTTTCGTTTGCTTTTTTTTCTTCAGTCGCAAGAACTTAACAAATATGGAGCATAAATTATACTTATTTTTTGACACGTATTGTAAATGTAAATAATATAGTTTGCGTACGAGATATTGATTACAATCAGTTGGCGTTTGTGCCGACTCGCTCGTTCGTTCCCGAAATACACGCTTCGGGAAATAGCGTTATCGTCGAGTTACCAGATAAAATACCTGCAGTCGCAGATGTTATATTCGAGAATGGCAGGCGCGTTATTAGATATGCTAGAAATGCCGTGGGGTATCTTGAATTTTAACGTTTGGCTTCGTTTGCGTTCTTTTGCGTCGAACAGGCGCAAACAGAAAGATCCAATTTCGCGCGTGAAATACTCGCGAACAGGGGCATTACCGGATTTCATTTTGCGCAATATCATTACTCTTTATTTTCGGAGCCGCCGAAATATTGCGACCGTATTATCATGCTAAGTCGGCCGTCGCAGCGGACGCGAGTAACAAACAGCTGGCGCGCC